ACAAAATGAGATGATGAGTAAGATTTTCCATTCGAATAAATATAATTTATTGAAGTCTGTGTGGTTTTGAATCATTAAAATGGATCAAAACTGCTGAGAGGTTTAAGTATTGAGCTGCAGAACATATGTATGAATGCAGACAGTAACTGGCCATGTGCCAGACTATTTATAGGTGTTTGTGCAAACCAGAATCCAGCAGAGGTTTAATACACAGTGGAGATTAATAATCCTGCTTCTTCCAGGGTGTAAAGCAGCAGAACCAAATGTAGGGGGGAGATAAGTGTTATAATATATTTGGATAATAAATGTTATTCATTTTATTTAAATCACACTTTAACATTCAGTGTTATCCAAAGAAAACTGAGCAGAGACCAGAAACACATTTTAGAATGTGACAAAACTACATCGCTCATGAATCGATCTACAAATAAACAGTTGTTATAAATAAATAAAATAATAATAGATAAGCTCATATGGTGAATATGTACTGTATTTCTCTAAAATTACATAAAAGCTCATATAAGTACACAACCATGAGAAAACAATAAAAATATTAAATTTGTAAAACCATAAAATAGTCAAATATAATAAAAGTATAGTATAATGTTACTGTATAATATAAATAATATACATGACAATTACTTCTGCTGAAGCAGATGTATGGAGGTGTTCAGGAACACTCTGGAATAATGAAAACTAACTTTTAGGGGTTTTATCAGTTTTATCTATTGCGTTACATAAGTTTGTTTTATTTCTTGACATTTCATTGTCTCATGTTGGATTGACTCTGGTTGTGTTTTCTTCTCTTCCATATTTTGTGAATATCCATATAAAATCTTGTGTGTTTTATTTTATGGTAAGATTTAATCCAATCAACTCAACATAATCTATTAGTCCATTAGACTTGTGTTTTTCGTCACTGCTCCGCTCACGTCTGCTCCTGTCACCTGTTATTACCAGAGTGACTGTGCTTTATTCTGCCTGAGCTGCTCTGATGATCACTGACACACTGCCCCCCCCCCTCTCTCCTCTAACTCTTTAAACAAAACTCATTTAAATGCACAAAGACAATCACTCAGACTGTGTTACATCAATCATGTGTTTATTATTTGTGTTTTTTCTGTTCAGTCTTTACAGTTAAAGGCCTTTTTTTATTTTATTAATGACAGTCTGCATCAGCCAATCGAATGCACTGTAATCCAGGCAGCTTGAATCTGATTGGCTGTGCAGACTCACTCCCACCACCCAGCCCATCTTCCTTTGTGTGCAACAACAACAACAGAAAAGGCAGCACTTTACAGCACCATACACAATGTACATGAGCAAACATGACATGTAAAAAAAACCCACCTAACAAACATCCGTCTTGATAAAAATCATTTCATCTTACATGAAAGTTAGTTTGAAGTTGTTTCTTTAACCTGGAAATAAGCCAACAGGGTGAGATGATTCCACTTTCTCTCAGAGCAGTTTCCCTCGTTTTTAATTTAACATCAGTGCCAGAATCTAAACAAGACGAAATAAGGCAGATAACTGAAGAGATGTAAAGAAATTTACACTCGATTTAAGAACATTTTTTAAAAACTTTGCTCCTGCAGGAAACTATAGGAGTGACCTCAGTCTGGCAGCAGATCCTTCAACCTTTAAGGCTAAATGACTTGAAAAGGTGAACATTTATTGATCTATTTTCTGTGAACATGAAGCAGAACAAACCTGACTCCGTACAGTAGAGGTTGGAGTCTTTTGCAGCTGAGAACAAAATGGCCTCCTGAGAGTTTCCCTTCAGGATGTCAGGATGTCACAGAACTCAACAAAGTCCCTCTGCATGAAGTTCTGGCTCTGCTTCAGGTCGTCCTCTGAGGGGAAATACTGCATGCTGTCCTCCTGCAGGCGCAGATTGTCCTCTTCCTGCAGACTGTCTTCGTGCAGTACCAGGAACTGACCTGGTGGTGTCGTTGTTGAGCCGCGTGGGTTGGGACTGTCCAGGAGGGCTCCTCTAGCATTCTCCAGGACGCCCAGGTATGAGTCCATATCCGTCAGCTCTGTGTCGCTGTCGGAGCTGCTGGCGCTGTCGCTGCCCACTGAGTCTGAGCGCATGTGCAGCATCTGGTACTTCTCGTGCATCAGAAACTGGTTAGTGTTCTTGGGGGCTCGCATCCCCCTCACTCTGTTCCCCTTGACGTTAACGGGCCGGAGTGACATCACCGACCTCTGGAGGTGTCTGGGATGATGATGATGATGACGTTGAGGGTGCTGGTGATTGCGCCCCCTCGACCAACCTCCCCCCCCTGTCCTCCGCCCCTGCAGGCGCCCCCTGCAGCTCTTGGACCAGCCACGCTTCCTGCGGCTGGCAGTGTCCCTCTGTGGAGCCTCCTTTGCATCCTGCTGCTGCTGCTGCTGCTGCTGCAGGCAGCTCCTCCTGCACATCATCTCTGAGAGCATTTTCTCCTCTTTCTTGCAGTGGCCTCCCTTCCTCCCTGCTGCTCTCCTTCACATCCTCCTCCCCACACGGTGGCCCACACTACAACAAAGAGAGGCTGGTGTCTGGTTTTTCTGGCTCAGATCACAAATGACCTCCTCCTCACCCAGAGTCTACCTTTTCACTATTCTGTCACTTTTTTTCTTGACCTCTGGCTTTGGCTGGTGCATCGCCTGCTCTTCCTCCCCCTGCAGCAGCAGCTTGCCTGCTCGGCTGGCTGCCTGTCACGCCCTCCTCTGTCTGCTCTACTCTCTGTTCTTCAGCTCTCTGAGAGTGAAGGCAGCTCCTCGCAGCTCTGATGATTGAACTGAAGTGAGCTGCTGAGGGGAGCTGAGCCTCTTCTAGCTGATTTAAAGCGGATCTAGTCTCAGGGCAGCAGCTGTGGTGCACTCAGCTCTGACCAACACTGACTGTGGCTCTGCCTCCTTCTCAGAGCCTCTATAAGCACATGGAAGGAACCATTCACAGGGGTTAGCATGCAGAAGGGGGTGGGCAGTATGCTCAGGTTTGACAACAATCTTAACAACGTTGCATTTGACAGACGTGTGCAAATAATCTATTCTAAACACGACTATAATGTATGTTAGTGTATTAATTGGTCTGCAGGGGCCTGTGTGTGTGTTGGGGTTGTTATAAGCACAAAGCTGCTCCCTGCAGTGAGATGGTTCACTCCGCTTCAGTTTTAGCAGCTGTAATCTGATCCACAGCTGCTGCCCCCCCCCCCCCCCCCCCCCCCCCCTCCTCTGACAACAGACCCACTGTTCAGAAACAACCAGCAGCAACTTTACTTCAGTTATTATGTCATTTACAAACACAATAACCAGCCCTCATATAAATACAAATAACATGCAAAGAAAAGTCTGCTGTGAAAAACAATCAAGTCTCTACAAAGAGCTACAGACTCAAAGTCTACATTTCCACCATCATGGATCTGTAGATGTCTGTGTGTGTCAGTAGCTCCAGTTGTGAGTTAGTGTATCTTCATAAACGCAGGATGGATTAAAACAAAACAACATTTTGTGGCCCAGACTCATCGCACCAGACTTTTATGATCTCTCGACTCTTCTCGTCTTTCCACATTTTATGAAGTTTGCCAAAAAAAAATGTCAACAGCTGTTGGTGCATCGCGAAGATATTTGGTTCAGTTACATTCCTGTTGCCGTCAGCATAAATTACAACAGCGCTGCTGATCCCCTGGCTTTGCATGCAGCGCCATCATCAGGTCAAAATCAAACTCAAAGGCTTTGTTCTTACAAGCAGCCATGACAAGTTCTCAATGCATTGTAATTCTTATTTCCTATAAATAAATGCACATATAAATAAAACACATCATCATTGGTTCATGTGCAATCCATTCACTGGACATATTCTCACACTGCACATATTTTTATTGTTTTTACACTGCATATATTAGTTTTAATCCATTCTTATTTTTCTATATCTTTTATATTCCTTTCATTTAAGTTTTATTATCATTGCACTTAAGCATTGTTTCTTATTATTACTTACTGATGCCTATTTTTGTAATATTGCAAATTTACCCATTGTGGGTCTAATAAAGGATTATCTTATCTCATCTACTTGATTTGCTAAACACCAAATACCTACACACCACACAACTTACAAAAATATGTATTATTGAATACAAAAAGGACTGTGAATAAGTACAGGACAATTAATGAATAAATCAAAAATAATGTGAGTCTGTACAGTACGTGTATTTACCCTCACACTCTTCTTTTATCAAGGTCTCTAATCATGGTGTCATGCTAATTCAAAAGTCAGTCAATTTATACAACCAGTTGTACAAATAAACTGAATTTCTTGTAAATTTCGTCTCATTGAAAACAACTCAAAGTGTCTTTGTCTTAATAAAGATAGCATTGTTTGCTCAGCC